ATTGTAAATGGTATTGATTTGGTGATTTCCTCTTCGAGGTTCTCTTTGTTGGTGTAAAGGAATCCAACTGATTTTTGTATGTTTATCGTGTATCCTGATACTTTGCTGAAATCTTCTATTAGTTCCAGTAGTTTTCTTGTGGATTCTTTGGGGTTTTCTGTGTACAACATCATATCGTCTACAAACAGAGATACTTTGACTTCTTCCCTACCAATCTGGATGCCCTTTCTTTCTTTTTCTAGCCTAACTGCTGTGGCTAGGACCTCCAGCACAATGTTGAATAAGAGTGGGGATAAAGGACATCCTTGTCTGGTTCCCGTTCTCAAGGGGAATGCTTTCAAAGTCTCTCCATTTAGGATGATGTTGGCTCTTGGCTTTATATAAATGCCTTTAATTATATTGAGGAATTTCCCTTCTAGTCCTGTTTTGTTGAGTGTTTTTATTATGAATGGGTGTTGGACTTTGTCAAATGCCTTTTCTGCATGGATAAGATCATATGGTTCTTGTCTTTTGTTTTATTTATGTGATGGATTATACTGATTGTTTTTCTAATGTTGAAATATCTCTGCATATCTGGTATAAATCCCACTTGGTCATGGTGAATTATTTTTTTTGATATATTGCTGAATTCTTTTAGCTAGAATTTTGTTGAGGATTTTTGCATCATGTTCATGAGGGATACTGGTCTCTAATTTTCTTTTTTTGTGGTGTCTTTACCTGGTTTTGGGATCAGGGTTATGCTGGCTTCATAGAATGAGTTTGGGAGCATTCCATCCTTTTCTATGCTCTGAAATACCTTTAGTAGTACTGGTGTTAACTCTTCTCTGAAAGTTCGGTAGAACGCTCCAGTGAAGCCACCCGGGCCACAGCTTTTTTTGGTTGGGAGTTTTTAAATTACCTTTTCAATCTCTTCTTTTGTTATGGGTTTATTTAGTTGTTCTACCTCTGTTTGTGTTAGTTTAGATAGGCTGTGAGTTTCTAGAAATTTGTCCATTTCCTCTAGGTTTTCGAATTTGTTAGAGTA